AGTCTGAACTAGACAATCCAGTGATTGACATCATGAGCATCGATCCACGCAATTGGGATACAATGACATGATGCATCAACCAAGTCAGCGAGTCTGACCACCCGATCCCATTAGTTATCTCTTGCAACAAGCATAGTTGTCTTTTACGGCAAGCATGGGTTGCTGAAAACCTATTCTACCCGGGATCTTCACGGGCAGACAAGTATGGTTTGCTGAAGACCTGTTCTACCCCAGATCTTCATGGGGAGACAAGCATGGGTTGGTGAAGACCTATTCTATCCCTGATCTTCATGGGGAAACAAGCATGGGTTGGTGAAGACCTATTCTACCCCGGGTCTTCTCAGGGAGACAAGCATGGTTTGGTGAAGACCTATTCTACCCCGGGTCTTCATGGGTCCCTGTAATTAAGACCAGAAGCACTAGTGGTTGACATCATGAAGAAGACTCAGTGTTGGGGTACAATGTCATACAATCAGCCACAAGTCACACATTATCTACCTGAGCTTCTTTTGGCTCTCACAATTACCATGGCTTGGGACTTATTCTTTTCTTGAATCCCCATAGAAAGACCAGCAATAGAGTTCATGGGGCCTATCCTGCCCCAGGATCACCACAAGGAGACCAGGAATATTGTTCTGAGGACCTATTCTGCCCCAGAACCCTCACAAGGAGACCAGCAATGGAGTTCCTGGGACCTAATCTTCCCCGGAACCCTCACAAGGGGACCAGCAATAGCTACCCCGGAACCCTCACAAGGAGACCAGCAATAGAGTTCCTGGGACCTATTCTGCCTCGGAACCCTCACAAGGAGACCAGCAATGGATTTCCTGGGACCTATTCTGCCCCGGAACCCTCACAAGGAGACCAGCAATTGCTGCCCCGGGACCCTCACAAGGAGACCAGCAATAGAGTTCCTGGGACCTATTCTGCCCCAGAACCCTCACAAGGAGACCAGGAATAGAGTTCCTGAGACCTATTCTGCCCCGGAACCTTCACAAGGAGACCAGCAATGGATTTCCTTGGACCTATTCTGCCCCGGAACCCTCACAAGGAGACCAGGAATAGAGTTCCTGAGACCTATTCTGCCCCGGAACCCTCACAAGGAGACCAGCAATGGATTTCCTTGGACCTATTCTGCCCCGGAACCCTCACAAGGAGACCAGCAATGGATTTCCTGGGGCCTATTCTGCCGTGGAACCCTTACAAGGAGACCAGCAATGGAGTTCCTGGGACCTATTCTGCCCCGGAATCCTCACAAGGCGGCCAGCAATGGTACAGGCATACAAGGGACCCATTCTGCCCCGGAACCCTCACAAGGAGACCAGCAATGGATTTCCTGGGACTTATTCTGCCGTGGAACCCTTACAAGGAGACCAGCAATGGAGTTCCTGGGACCTATTCTGCCCCAGAACCCTCACAAGGAGACCAGCAATGGATTTCCTGGGACCTATTCTGCCCTGGAACCCTCAAAAGGCAGCCAGCAATGGTACAGGCATACAAGGGACCTATTCTGCCCTGGAATCTTCACAAGGCGGCCAGCAATGGTACAGGCATATAAGGGACCTATTCTACCCTGGAATCCTCACAAGGCGGCCAGCAATGGTAGAGGCATACAAGGGACCTATTCTGCCCTGTTTACCAACAGGGAGACAAGCATGATTCACAAAGGACCAGTTCAGTCCTTAAATCCCTCCAGAAAGATGGTTTTGACTTTGTGGATTGCATATTAAATGGCCCTGTTGAAGTGATAGCAGCAGTCAGCATTACAGTTTCGGACAAACATGGAAGGGTACACAGAAACTGTTCAATATTGATCAGCTTGAAAGATAAGTGTTTGTCTCAAGACTGGAGGTTTTCATAGTGGCTCACGTTCCTATTTCTTTCCAAATTGATTTTCCTCTGTCTGGATTGAAGGAGAACATATCCCCACACTGGTCGAGTTCCCTGACATTTTCAGTTCCACAGGTTGTCCAAAGGCAGGTCATTGTGTGTCACGTCAACATCCATGTCTGCATTCCCCGACCATCCCTCATCCACTCCCCCCTCCCCTATCCTGGTTTGGTTTCCATGGCAACCACATGCTAAAATGTACTTTTTACCATTGTTCTCTAATGCATGCAGATAAATGGATGAAAAATGGTGGCAGGATAGTGTGCAGTGGGGTCTAAGATATGCTTTTCCAATTTTGCACCAACTTTGACTTTGCTTGTCCATCAACTATTTCACTGTAAAAGTGGAAGGTCAAATCAAGGTCAGATTTCATCATATCCCAAAGAAAAGGAACATATACGTCAGGCTCCACTATTAACTACACATATGGCAAATTTTGATTCATTTTGGAAATTAATGGGTCCTTCAATATGTCTGCCATGGCAGCCATGTTTAAAATAAAATCGGAATTGTGCGAGCACTTTCTGGAGGAGACATCATTGCTGGGATCTTTCAAGTTTCAGAGTAAGTGAGTGAGTGAGTATGGTTTTACGCCGCTTTTAGCAATATTCCAGCAATATCACGGCGGGGGACACCAGAAATGGGCTTCACACATTGTACCCATGTCGGGAATCGAACCCGGGTCTTCGGTGTGATGAGCGAACGCTTTAACCACTAGGCTACCCGACCGCCCTTCAAGTTATAGAGGAGCTGCCGAAAATGCAAAAGTTAAAATGGACTCCCAGTACAATAAGCATATATTGTTAACATTCAAATTGTTTAGGTTATGTTGGATGTTGTAGTAGACTTTCTTCCAGAAATGACAAAACAGGCATCTATAGGCAGATCAAACTTCAAGAAGGCCCAAAAATATACAAAGAATTTCCTCTAGCACCCCAAAGGCTTCATGAGAACACTGCCCAGAGGAAATTTCATGTCTCAGGTTCCCCTGCCCGTGTGTGATGAAACAGTACCGTGTGTGATAAACAGTACCGTGTGTGATGAAACAGTACCGTGCCAGCAGGGGAATGGAATGTATTTGTCCAACCAGTCAGAGCTGTGACCAGCACACACATTGTCAGATCTGGCACGGACAACTGACACTGTGGGCGCCATGGCGCCATCAGCTGGCACTGACATGTATCTGTGATAATGGCCAGGGGTATCGACACTTTCATTCAAACAGTGAATTGACTCATCCGAGGTGTCAGCTGCAATGACAAACCATCCTGTGCAGAGACTAGATCTGGACACAGCTTAGTGTTTGTTCGTTGGTGGGGGAAAGTTGGTTTAAAGCCCCTGTCCCAATTAACAAAAGCACTTTCCATGAACGCATTAACTGAGCATGTTAACAAGTGAACATGTTAACAGGTGTGCATGTTAACAAGTAGGCCCATTAAGAGGGCAACAAAGGCTTATGAAGTGACACAAGGCAATGATACATTAATCACCATGGTGTTGTTGTACGAAGCGATCATAAGGTGATCATAACTCCCACATCTTAACATAGACTTATGACAGTCTTAGCGCTAAGGTTGTATTGTACAATGGCAACCTGATTATTATCCCCATCGTTTTTAACTACCACATCCATTATTCTACAGCCCCAATATACCGTTAAACAAAAAAACACATTTTTTGTTCCTTTCTATGGATGGTTTGGTAGCCTTGTGGTTAAAGCGTTCGCTCGTCACACCGAAGACCTGGGTTCAATTCCCGACATGAGTGCAATGTGTGAAGCCAATTTCTGGTGTCCCCCGCCATGATATTGCAGGAATATTGCTAAAAGCGGTGTAAAACCATACTCGCTGACTCCTTTCTTTTTATATTTGATGAAATAACCACATATATGTGCTGCACTAAGAAACAGTCCAGCTTGGGAAGCCTACCAATAATGGATTCTGGTCCTGACAAACCGATGACTGATATCATGAGCAATGTCCCACGACATGCATTCATCCCAGTCACCAGGCCTGACCATCCGATCCATTTAGGTTCCTCGTACAACAAGCATAGAACCTACAGTCTCACCCTGTCTCCCCACTGCAGAATGAATCTACTACTTTAAATAAATTTACATACAGTGATGCAAGAGGTTGGTAAAATTTACCGCCAGGGAAGACTGCATTTTTAAGACAAATTATTTAAGATCATTATCTTAAAACGTGCCATCTGTTTCATATCTACCTGTCAGAGAAACAACACTTCTTTGCAAGCATCACACGACGTGAATTTCTTTGTCATCCCTTAATCAAATTGAGTGCAGTTTCCACACAAATGTCGTCATTCCAGGCTCTTGTGTTTGAAGAGAAAAACATGCCATGTCTCCGACAGTAGAAGTATCTGCTCACACACGTCTTTTCAAAATTCAAACCACTGACTGATCAGTTTTCATTCTGACATGGAATTAACTGGTACATAAAAAATGTGTTACACTTGGAGGCTAGCTTCCAGTTTTTAGACATTGGAGATAGCTGCACAAAAACTACAATTTTACTGGTAAAGTGTTTGCAAGTACTGAACAAACAGAAGCATGATGCCTTCACTGCCATTTCCAGATTTCCCCAGCATCTTTACACACCACGATGCATTTACAGAGTCGTACCATTACCGCTGGTTTGGTGAAGTACACGTCAACTGCAACCTCATACCAAAATAAAGTAGTTGTTGTTTTTTGTTTAACGTCGCACTCAGCAATAATTCAGCTATATGACATCAGTCTGTAAATAATAGAGTCTGGACCAGACAATCCAGTGATTGATGATATCACATCGATCCATGCAATTGGGATACAATGACATGCATCAACCAAGTCAGTGAGCCTGACCACCCGATCCAGTTAGTCGCCTCTTACGACAAGCAAAGTCACCTCTTACAACGGCTAACATGTGTTGCTGAAGAACTATTTTACCCCGGATCTTCACGGGTCCAAAATGCAGTAACTTGCTAACATACTACAGTATTCACATTCCTACTGAATGAGATTGTTGCTGGTCTTGGAAACGCATGCCCACATTTCAAAGTGTGTGGCTTCCATACACAACAAATCAGAAATAATTATTCCTACTTACCAAATCCTATGTTGGAAACTCGCAGCCCAGACTTGCCGAGGTTCCTGTCAACAGACAATACAAGGAATGAACAGTGATAATTTCCAGCAATTACAGTCAGCTGCCCAAAACACTTGGACCGGTAACTTGGTTAATAATACCTTAGCAGCATGGGACAATGCTCATAATGTCACTCACTGGTTTGTCTGGTCCGGATGCCATTACCCAGAGTTCCTTGTGGTCAGCAGCCAGCATAGTACCTCTGCCACAGTCCAGCGCCATGTGACGATTCGTCACATCTTTCACAGTCCATTCAAGATATTGCATATGCTTTTCATACATTTCATGTTTGACAAGTTTTCACATTTTCATAAACAAATGTCAAGGATGGTTACGGTTCATAAAGAAGTATCATAAATTATGAAAATCTACTTCCATTTGCGTAGTTAACCTTTGTTTACATTGGTTGTACGGCTCCACGTGCTGACATCAAAGCTCCACTGAGAGCGCGCGATAAGGTCACTTTGATACAGACATATATTGGCATGCATCTCTTTGTTGCAGTGGTAGTAGCATATCTATATAATTATGCAAAATAATATGTTAAGCACACCGATAGACATTTATTTGACCAGTCTGTTCGGTTTTCAGAATTAGCGCTTGTTTACAAACAAGATAAAAGTCCGGTCACATGATATGCAAATTAGCCTGTGGCTGTGCTGTTATACTTAGTCACCACTGCACCGGGGTGTTATGGCCACTATCATACAGCGTGAATACAGCGTGAATACAGCTCAGTACAGTCAGTGCCAGCTTAATAAAGCATGTATCAATACAAGATGCCTTATAGGTCAACAAATATTATATAACACTTTCTTAGTAAAGTACCAATTCTAGTACTTTTGGGGTTGAGTCCCATCTGGGATTCAAACCCACACTGCCAGAGTGAGGCAGCAAATCGCCACCACACGACATCAATCTAACCCACTCAGCCACAGAGACTTCCACAAAATGAAAGCCATATAAAGCAGGTATCATCAATGCATAAAACAATTTGGTGCCTTATGGTGACAGGGATCGAAATTAACCATATTTTGCGTGCCATCACATGCCTACAATGAAAATGGCACGGCTAATTCATGATCTTCGTGCCTCGATGGCACGCTTGGAAAATAGGAATTAATAACCTACCTTTGCCATATAAGGCATATTTAAATGATAAATATCAATCTCGTCAGCAATAAATTAAGTCTGATACAAAATCGCTATAATAATGACCTATAAAAGTCTATATCTGTTGAAACTTAACAACACACGAAGTCCGATGTGAATGCATGGGCGCCGACATTTTGTTTGTCACTGCGCATGTCAGGAATTCTATTTGCTTTGAATTGTGGGTACTCTGGTCCAGCAGACGATCGATCGCGATGGAAGTCAGTAAAGTAAGTTTGTAACTCACTTTAACTTGAATAAATCACTTACTATTAAGATCACACATGTCTCACTTACTTACAATTACATGAATTTATTAACATGATTGAACTACAGACAAAGAGACACAAATAAACAACAAACACTTTAATGGTTGTTAAAAAATTTGATGCTGAAATGTAACAAATAATTGGCTGGGCACCCCATGATTTCCCAAGGCACACCTAAATTTTATACCTTGTGGCACATTGGCAAAAATTGCATTTCTAGCCCTGTGGTGGTAAAGTGAAGAAGCATATATAAAAAATAAAAAATGAAAAACTTTAGGACCACCCTGAAAACATGGTCAAATCGGAACTATTCCATACGTTCCATTCCCCCCGATGCAACACATGTACAACCCTACAGTAGACTCCTATGGCAGCACTAAAGTACTGTCGGAAATGCCAGAAAAATGCTTTTTTCCCGTTAAAACAAGATAGAATGTTTCACAGACTGTTGCTATTTAAAGGGGCACTGATCTAACGCAATTCCCCGGGACTGGTTGTTGCCTTTGTTATTGTTTTTTCCCAGTGAGTACCCGGATGTATAGCAGAAATCTAGACTAGTTCGCGACCTCTGCTGCACCATTCCTAAACGCATAAGTCACTTTTATGGGTAGTAATAAGGGCGTATGGTCACACTGATCAACAAAATGAAATACAGTTTTCGAGATAATAAGGAAATGTAGGTATCTTTGTGGGTAGCATCGGTAATGGTGACGAAGTTTTGATAAGTCACTTGCTTGGTAATTTTGCGATTTTTGTTTACACTATTTTGACTTGCTACACAAAGTAAATATTTCACCTGAGCATTGCTTTTTTTATAGTGTGTATATTTTTTACTGTCAAATGTGTAACAAATTTATTAAACGTCTAAATATTCAGTTATTTTACAAAGTGACTGAAAAACATTTCCATCTGTATTATTATGATAACGAATTCCAAATATTTTGATGTTTAATGTCATCACCAAGAGACTGAAAATGTTACGTTGAAAAGTACATTTCTATGTTGTTTGGCTTCTCATCCTACATAATAATCTGTTGTGGTGTTTGTAGGCCCTTTTGATCGTCTTAATCAATCTGGACAGATTTTTTAGTCAAAATGACTGAAATATTTACACATTTTATAAATTGCCTGAGAGAATCACATTTTACAAATTGACGGTAATATATACACGGTTACAAAGGAATAGACCTGTGAAAACAACATCTATCGCTCATTGAAGAATTTCCCAACCAAGACGAAGAGAAACAAGAACGAATCGGTTCAAATAAAGGAAAACAAAATGCAAATATCATAATTACAACCTACCAAATTTATGTGTATAAATTTTAGGCAGCTTCCTTGTTCGAGGAATGTATCCTTGAATATCCACACAAAGGAACAATATCCCACTCGTCTGCAGCTGTACAAAGAAAAATATTCGATGTCACGTGTCTCAGTAACAATCAAATATTTTAAAAGATGTATATCGTTTCGGGATATTATAACCCGTGTTCGTTTCTCAACTGATCACTTGGATTGTTTCAGGTGTTTCATATAGGTGTCAAGTCTCAAAGGTCGGCTGAGAAAGCCCACGTGACAACTATTTTCATAACGTCCATGGTTCCTAAAAAATCCATTGAGTGATGGATAACAATGATCAATCAATCAACGTATTAACAGTTAACCCTTTGAACAAAGTATGTTGTTTTTACATCGGCACTTCACGCCATGATATGAGTGTATTCCCTTTGTTTTAGTAAACCTAGACATGTAAACACTCACTCTTGACATATCCACTGTGCAAGATAACAGTGATTAATCAATCAATGTATTGTCTGTTAATCCTTTAATGACTAGGAACGATCCGTTGATTTACAAAAAAAAGTAAATCAACTGATCATTCATCTCTTGCTGGGCTGCCACGTGCATATTACATAACACACATTTCACCTCACTTCAAACCTGGATTTAGATTGAATAATTACCCCAGACACAATAAATGCCAAATGGGAACCTTTGTCAGGTAATCTAAGTGGTGCTACCACTAATTGTACCTGTAATAAATTCATTAACTGAGCATCAAGTGAATGACGACAAATACACAAGTGTAGGGTTATACGAGAAAACGTGGATGACAACAAGGGAGTAGTAATCGTATTATCGACGCAAGCCGAAATCCGAAAATGCTTTTACTGCATGGATACTTTTTTTAGTATTAAACTATAACCATCTGGGGTATTTCCAAATGACGACATCCGATGAGCTTCGCTGTTCTTTTTGTCTGTTTGTTTAGGCTGAAGAAATTAATTAACATGCGCCCTTTGTCGAAATCTTTATAGATCACAGTTAACCAATCAGTGTTTATGCAAAAACACGTAAAACAAATATTGCTTCCAGCCTCAAAGTTTATTTAGCTGTCCTTGCAGACGGTAGCCCAGTCTCTGGTCACGCTCAGTTGCGTTGCGTATCATCCGGGTACTCACGGGGGAAAAAACAATAACAAAGGCAACAACCAGTCCGGGGAATTGCGTTAGATCAGTGCCCCTTTAAATATCAAGAAGCTACCGATCTACCTACTTGTGAGGTCTTTGAAAAGCATTTAGAAGTGGTACCCATAAGGAAGACAATATATGGATGTCAGCTTCTTTATTATGAGGAACACATGTTTCGGAGTACATGCTTACTCCTTCATCAGGAAGTTGACATCCATATATTCTCTTCCTGACCTACTTGTGGTTTTAAGTATATCAATCACAAGGAGGCATTTCGATAGTTTTACGGGAGAAAAATTTAAACGAAAACAGAGTGTTCAGATTTATTCTAAGAACAATTAGGGGAGTCTGAAACGGACTATAGAAATATGGGCAGGTGACTGTTATAATAATAATAATCATCATCATCATTTTACCTGTAAAAATACATTTTAAGGCCAATGAAAGTGTCAGTTAGGATAGGCTAGATTTGGTAGGTATGTTTTCCTTGAAACATGACTTTAATATGATTAAGGGTAGTAAATAGAATAACCCTCTCAGTACGATTTGGTAGATTTCAATATTTTGATATCTGCTTTTTTTCATAGCTATGATTCGTATTTAATAAATGAAGCACGAAAAGCATTTTTCTAGCATTTCCGATAGCACTTTAGCAATCATATCATTTAATCAACTCATCTGCTAATAACAGTAGCATTACCCAGACCAATTCAGCAGTAAATGATTAGCCTAATTACACATGGACAATTATTGTCTCCATTTCTCCCGGGACATGAAGTACATCTTGTAAACCGAGGCTTGAACAGGCACCAGACCAGCGAGGGCACTAGACCGATAAGGGCGCCAGCTAGACCATGGCGCTGGCTTGTTTGTAATGCTACAATAAATTAATCAGTATGGTCACATTTATTGTGGCTGGTCAAGAATTGGCTTACAGATTAACAACAGTAATATTAAATAATTGGTTGTTCAGTAATATCTGTTGAATAGTATATATCACTTTTTAAATCAAGTGACATATTTATTTTATGTTTTCATACTGCAAGGGCAGGTAACTATTTCTATGACAAGAACCAACCACACGATAATATAGAAAAACATTATATGCCTTTG